CGCGCATTAACGGAGGCGCCGGTACTCGCGCGCCCTGGTTTTACACGCCCCTTTCACTTGCGCTGCGATGGCTCTTCCTTCGCGGTTGGCGCGTGTTTGGTCCAGGTATTCGACGACGGCGAGCATCCCATATGCTACGCCAGTCGGATGCTGAACGCGCACGAGCGAAATTACACGGTGAGCGAAATCGAGTTTTTGGCAGTACTTTTTGCGGTAAAAAAGTTTAGGCCTTATATAGAAGGCTCACACTTTGTCATCGTTACGGATCATAGTGCGCTTACTAGGATTCTTAATAAACGCGCACTTACAGGTCGATTGGAAAGATGGATATTAGAATTTCAGCAGTTGGATTGCGAAATAATACATAGAAAGGGAGCGCTGCACCATGTGCCGGACGCACTTTCGCGAGAATTTGAGGACGAACTCGAGGTTTGCGCATTTGATAAGATACAGGATGCTTGGTATCTACAACGCGTGAAAGACGTTCTTCAAAGACCGAAGAAATTCGAGAATTGGAGAGTAGAGAATAACGTGCTGTATCGGTTCATGCGCGATCACCTGCTCGATCCGATAACTAATCGCGAGGAATGTTGGCGCATGGTGGTGCCGCTGGAGTACCGAGAAAGGGTGTTGAGAGACGCTCATTGCGAGCCATTCGCTGGACATTTCGGCCGTGAAAAGACTTACGATCGAATTGCTCGTGAGTATTACTGGCCAGGAGTGTGGTATGATGTGAGGACGTTCGTAAGTGAGTGCTCTCAATGTCAGAAGTACAAGGTAGTCCAGCAGGCACCCCAAGGTCTAATGGGTAAGTAAGTCTAATGGGTGGTAGAAAGACCATGGGCCGTAGTAGCGACTGACGTCGTAGAGCTGCCCCATAGCAAAAATAGGTTTAAATACCTGGTGGTTTTTCAAGACCTATTTACTAAGTGGGTCGAGCTGAAACCACTGCGATCGGCGGACGGCCCTGCTCTTGTTGCCGCGCTTGAGGAGTTAATCCTGTTCAGGTGGGAAACTCCGGAGTATATCATTAGTGATAATGCGAAGGCATATACGAGGTGTGTTCAAAAAATAACGAGAATTTTCGTTTTATGAAAAAAATATTTATTTATTCATCTACATTAATATTGTCGCCTTCAAAGTAGTCCCCTTCGGATAGAATACACTTATGCCAACGCTTTTTCCAATCCTCGAAACACTTTTGAAACTCGATCTTTGTAATAGCTTTTAGCTCTTTCAGCGATTCGCTTTTAATGTCATCTATGCTTGTAAAACGACGGCCATTTAATGTTCTCTTTATTTTTGGAAATAGAAAAAAGTCACATGGAGCCATATCTGACGAATATGGAGGCTGAGGCATCGTTATAGTTTCGTTTTTGGCCAAAAATTCACGAACAAGCAATGAAGTGTGAGCAGGCGCATTATCGTGGTGCAAAAGCCATGAATTGTTTTGCCACAAATCCGGGCGTTTTTTTCGGATTGCTTCACGCAAACGACGTTGAACTTGTAGGTAGTACTGCTTATTGATTGTTTGACCTTGTGGCAAGAATTCATAATGCACTATGCCATTAAAATCGAAGAACACAGTGAGCATAACCTTCACATTCGACCGCACTTGTCGAGCCTTTTTCGGTCTTGGCGATCCAGAATGCCTCCACTGGGACGATTGAGCCTTAGTTTCGACATCATATCCGTAAACCCATGTTTCGTCACCTGTTATAACACGTTTTAGTAGTTCTGCATCGTTATTGACTTCATTTAGCGACTCCTGAGCAACTTCCATTCGCCGCTGTTTTTGTTCGAAATTCAACAATTTTGGAACGAATTTTGCTGCCACACGTTTCATACCCAAAACATTCGAAAAAATTTGATGGCATGAGCCAACTGATATGCCAACATCATCAGCGACTTCTCTGATTGTGATTCGGCGATCGTTCATAACCATTTCTTTCACTTTTTTCACGTTTTCATCGGTTGTTGATGTGCTTGGGCGTCCGGGTCGTTCGTCATCTTCAACGTTTTCGTGGCCATCTTGGAAACGCTTATACCACTCATAAATCCTTGCTTTACTCATAGCAGACTCACTATATGCCTTTGTTAACATTTGACAAACTTTACTACACTTTATTTCATTTTTTACGCAAAATTTAATACAAATTCTTTGATCCATTTTTTTTCACAAACGAAAATCACCGAGCTCGAAAAACACGTCTAACGTTAGCGGCTGCCACTTAAAAAGTAAGCAATGAATATTGCTGAAAATTTTATCGTACTTCAGGGGCATGTGTACCAACATAATAAAAAAAAATTTTATACAAGCGGACTCTCCAAACCCGCGAAATTTAAAAATTCTCGTTACTTTTTGAACATACCTCGTAGGAGCAAAGTATTTCAAGACAGGTTGCGAGAATATGGTATCGAACATATATTTTGTCCTGCGTATCATCAGCAAAGTGACCCGGTTGAGCGCGTAAATCGTACGTTAAAGACGATGATAGCGATGTTTGTAGATACCGATCACAGGAGCTGGGATAGGTATTTGCATGAATTTCGTCATGCTATCAATACGGCGACTCAGACGTCTACAAAGGTATCGCCGGCGTTTCTAAACTTTGGTAGGGATCCGCGTCCGGTAAAGAGTTAAAGGCGCGAGATCGAGGCAAAGGCCCCTATTGTTAAGATGGATACGAAGGCGTGGGAAGATAGGCTATCACGTTTAAATGCATTACGCGACTTAGTAGCTAGGCACATAGATGAAGCTGAGGAAAAGCAAAAGAAACACTACGATAAGGGTAGGCGTCAGGTACTTTTTCAGGTAGGTGACTTGGTTTTGCGCAAAGTGCATACGCTTTCGAGCGCAGCGGATGGTAAAAACGCGAAACTGGATCCGAAATTTGACGGACCGTTTGAAATTATTTCAGTGATTTCGCCCGAGATCTACGAACTAACGACGAACAGTAAGCATCGTACAGCTAGGGTACACGTCTCGGAAATTAAGCGATATATACCACCGCGTAAGGTAAAGAAATAGTTTGCGAAATAGGATAGATGTAATAACTGAATTGTTTTGTTTTAAAGGTACAAGAGGTTCATCGACGTCAGGTGATGATGGCTGAAACCGAGGAGTCGGGCCGCATCGCTCAAGTCGCCGAGGCTCAAACACCTACAGACGACGTGACCGCATCGGTGAACTCGGCGGGAATTGTTGAGGCGATGGAGGTAGACCGAGCGTCGGAGTTGCCGCCCGGTTTTCAGGCCTTGGGCAGGCGGCCTCCTTTGACGGCGAGGTTGCCTCCTGTGTTTCACGGTTGGCACAGGCGTCGGTTGGCGGGAACAGTGACGGGCAGGCGAAGGGGTTCCCTTTGCCGCTGCCTTTGCCTTCGCCCCCGACGCCGTTCGTGAGCGACCGGCGACGGGTTCGTTTGCTAACGGGAAATCGCCGTGCGGGTTCGATAATTCGTCTGGCTGCGCCCACGCGTACCTGGGACGAGGCGGTACGTCGCAGCGCAGCGTTTCGGCTCACGACACTTTGCATACGCAAAGCATCCGAGAAGTCGAGAGTTATCGCCGCAAAAGAGGGAATTGTCTTCTCGCAGGCGGGCACGAGTAGCCAAGGCGAGAAATCGCCGGGCTCTCGAGCTGCCGCGGGAGGATATCTCGCGGGTAGGGCGGCAAATCGGAGCCGTACCGCGAGGGCTTGTATTGGAAGGGGAAACTGGAGTCCCATAAAGCGAGGCGCCACCAACGGGATACTGGAGGTGGTGCTAAGCTCGAGCGACTCCGAGGATGAGGCGATGCCGGTGCAGGAGCTGCCTCGAGTGGCTCCACAACCACACGTCCATCCTATTCTCCCTTTCAAACCGCTCGCGCTACAGAGGTTAGATCCCGCGTACCAATTCGTCCGCAGGGGTGGGCCCGCGCAATTCTACCCAGCGGGGTATATGGAGGACGAGAGAAGGAAGGAGGCTGAGGCTCGCCAGAATTCGGGTAGGAGGAAGCGCACAATGCGTTTCAACCTATCCGCGTGTAATTTTGAGAGGCCAACCTCCGGTTCGACGCCAACTCTACCTGAGATGGCGGAGAGAGCCGTTGCTGAGGCAACAGGCGCCCTCCAGCCATCGGTTTCGTTGGCTGTCGACAAAGGGAAAGCCTTGGGAGTTAGTGCGAGCACAGTCACCGAGAAGACGGGAGAGGCAGGCACAAGGTTGGAAGTGGTGGTGCCGCCGACTCCACGAAGAGTTAGACGTAGTCGATGTTTGGGGAAATATGGGAAAGGAAGGACGAGAGCGGAAAAAAAGGTAGAATAAGGATAACGGTCTCACCACCCTACGCTTATTTAACGTTTCGTCAGTTGACATTCTGTCACCTCACCCACAATTATTTGTCTTGATTCCAGTTTTAGAAGTTGAACGAGTAAATTATCACTCTTCTTTTTAATTATTTATCTAATTACCTCAATTCTAGAAAAAATTTTTCATAAGTCCACTTATCCATAACTGTTTGTGATGAACTCAGTGGTGTATGAAAATTTAAATAAATGAGGCCCGTATTGAGAACAACCAAAACAGCTAAGGGAGATGATTGAAAAAACAGATTTATATAACAAATCATCTTTATTTACACAGACTATAACGTTTAATCGAATTATTCGAATTTCGTCTACTATTAGGCTTACTAGTTTTTAGTAAAACCTTAGTAGAAAAGAAAAAATATAAAAAACATGTCAATTTCTATCTCCCAATCCGGATCGTTGCCAACCTCATCATCTTCATCCATACTATCATCAGCCTCACCGTCTTCGCTGCCATCATTTTCACCATCGTTGTTCATATCATCATCATCATCTTCTCCATTTTCATCATTGCCATCAACATCAACATCATCACCATTCTCGTCCTCCTCCTCAACAACATCATCATCACCATTACCACCATCATCACCATTACCACCATCATCACCATTACCACCATCATCACCATTACCACCATCATCACCATTACCACCATCATCACCATCCAAGCATTGTTCGAAATGCCGCCCTGTTGCTGAATACACAAAATAGCTCTACGTCTTATCTGATGTATAGCTGCATGTATTTTTTCGGGTTCTAGATGCTGGGCGTGATGTTGGATTCTTTGTATCATGTCATTTGGGTCATTGAGGCCGCCATTGTGATAAACTGCTTCTTTGGATGTCCCCCAGTAAAAGTAGTCCAATGGGTTCAAATCAGGAGATCTTGCTGGCCAGCGTACTGGACCATTATTGCCTATCCAATGGCCGCCATATACCTTGAAGAATTAAAATATTTTATCAGCGATTTTAATATACCTGCGTAAAATTTGTTATGAAACCAATAATTTTTCTAGCCGACAGTTGTACATGCAGGTGCAAGTATAGACATATACATATTTGGTTTCTAGCGCTGTACTGTGGATGCACTCTCACATGCTCCCCGAAGTATACTAATGAAGCCGTGTTGGTTTTAAAACTTCTGTAGACTAAAGTAGTACGAGTAATCAAAATACTAGCAGCATACGTAGAGATTAAAAAATTTTATATTTAAAGTAGAGTTGAAATAAAAGGGAATGAGGAGGAAAGCGGATTTTATTTGAGATTTGAGAATCTTTGAGCGTCGGAAATAAAACTCGTCAAGTATGATACAAAGTAGAAAATTTTCATAAGGCTATCTGTCCTAGAACGACTTTTATATTTTTATAAAGAATAATATAAAAGTAATTAAATTTCCTTTTTAGTCAGAGCAATATTCCCTTCAGCAAATAATTGGCATAAAGCCACGACAAAATTATCCTACATGAAATTTCAGAGCGTTAAAACTTTCATTAGGAGAAATTGCGTAATACAATTTTTGGTAAGGAAGGGTAAAGCAGGCAGAATAAATGAATAAATAGTTGTAGAAAAGAAATGCTTTATTCGAGAGAAAGCCTTTGGCGTCCGCGTCACGGAAGAGACTAGAACGAATTGAGCGGCAACGCCGCTAGCCGCCAAGAGAGAGCGAGACGTGTAGTCACGCACATGCGCAGAGCAAAATAGGTGAGATGATTTTATATATTTCCATCAACAATGTGTGACGATGTAGGCTGGTCATGGCCTGCACCGCCCGTATGCTTGCTTCCCTCTCCATCCTAGGCAAAGGTGCACGGCTGGCATCGGACGCACGTTATTTTACGTGTCTAATGCCTGCCTTTATTCTTTCCAGTATTGCAGCTAGAAGAGAGAGGGAGAAAAGGCAAGCAGCGAGCAAGCAAAAGGGACGATATGTCAAGAGTAAGAGAGAGAGAGAGAGAGAGAGAGAAAGAAATTATATGTATTTCGGTGAGGCTCGGCGCGCGGCCGTGTGCCGCGTGCCGCCGATTAGGAGGACAGTGGTGGGGAAGGCGTGAGAAGCTGACTCGCACGCATTCGTTACTAGATCGGCGCACGCGAGAGAGATCGGCCGCACTGGGTGGAATTGTCATCTTCTTCTTTGCCTGGAACCCGAGAAAGAGTGTGAGAGCCGTGACAACGAGAACTGGGCTACGTCTAGCGCTAGCCACCTCACCTGCAGCCCACCTGCCAAGCAGCCATCACCCTTTTGGTCAGGTTTAGTTTTCTCTCCTCTCTTTTCTCTCTCTATTTCCCTCGGCATTGTCTCACGGTTTGTGTGCGGCGCCAGGCTTTCACGAGCCGGCGCAACGTATCTTCGTCACTTAATTTAGTTTGAGTCGGTTAATGAGGTGACATGGCGCTAACGTGCCGGTCATCTCATTTAGTATAAGTTTTGCGTATTATTAATGATAAGTAGTTTTGTATTCTCGTCGGCATTCGAGGTAGTGCGTTTGTAATAAACGGTCGATTAACGAAGTCGAGTGTGTGAAATCATTAAATCTATACCTTCTCTTTCCTGCTTTGCTAGGAGCAATACACCGCCTCCCTTACCCTCCCCTTAAATAATTCGGTAATAGTAGCGAAATTGTTGGCATTGAAGGCTATTACACGCTATTACAAATGTATACTATAATAATTACCTGATCAAGATAATTCCTAACATTCACAGCAGTATGTGCTGGTGCACCGTCATGCATGAAAATAAGATTTTCTTGCAGTTCTTCTGGCACACCATCAAGCAATCCTGGAAGTATATCCTGCAGGAAGTCAAGGTAATTTTCAGCGTTTAGTGGGTTTGGAAGTTGTACCGGACCAATAACTTGATTACCAATCAAGCCTGTCCACATATTGACTGAAAACCGATTTTGAAATCGATCTGGAAATAATGAACAAAATTTATAAATTTTCCAGTTTATAGCACATTTTAATAGATGTTTGGGGACGCAAGACGTCTCCTATCCACATATGTCGTATTGTGTTTTTTGAGACAATGTGAGCGGAGCGAGTCATACCGTACAAAGAATTGCAGTTTGATAATTTAACCATATTATTTACAAAAAGTAATATTTATGTTAATATTTTGATCTTTTATGATTGCATTTGTTCTATTTCGTTTTTTCTCTTCTACGTGCCCACAATCTTAAGGCTATTAAAGGAAAATTTGACTGAAAAATACGTGAGGAATTGTATACATTCGTACTACGAAATAAAGTATCAGTGCATGATAATTTTTAAAAACGGCGAATGAACATCTCGCTTCACAAAAAATGATTGCTCTTAAATAGTCTTTCGTACTTATAGATGCATATACGAACTACATTTTCTTCGTGATTTAGATTAATACTCATAATAATGTATGAACTGTGAATCAGTTTTGACTTTATCGTCCCATTGTTTAAATGTGTGTGGCGGACGTGCTTTATCTGTTGATCTACTTGGTTAAAACTTTCAGTTTTTCCTCAGCATCAATAAAATAATTTAGTTCAGCTGTCGCGCGGCTGCCGCTTAACTGCCGCGCCGAATTTCGATTTTTATGGCGCGCCCGCAATAAATGAAAATTGCTTTGCGCTCTCGCTAATCCCTTGTTGTTAGCGACAAAACACGTCTCATCACCCTGTTTTCCCGTTGGTCCTCAACTAACCTTTTCACGGACTTCGTGGGTGGGACTTACCTTCCCCCGATGTCTACGGAAACCGCCTTCGCTGAGGTATGACGAGTGAATCGTCACTCACACTAGAACTGCCGACACGCTTACATCTCTACTCTCTGCGAGATGCGCGGTCTTTGCGTAGACTAAGTCTCTACTATTAAGTATTTGTAGTAGTTAGTCTAATTTTAATAAAACATCAAGTTTTCCTTTACACTTAAATCATCTCCTTGTGGATAAACTGAAAAAGCAATTCGAACGAACTAAATAACGTTTTCATTAATAATTGTTTATAGACCTATAAATACAAATTTTATTTCGATAGAGAAAAATTTTTTTGCCAATCGCTAGAGATCGTAGACTGTTTTTTTTATAAATCATAACTAACGCACCCGATGACAAATTCACGGCCGGATCCCGGTACGGAGACCCCGTATTCCAAACTAAACTGCTGATCCGATTAAAATTTCCCTATGTGTGTGCGTGTATTATTGGAAGAAAGTTTATTTTTATTCTACTCGTAATAATATAATTGTTAGATATATCTTTTTAACATTTTCGGTTTTCCGAACGCAAAGATGCGACTTGGAGTACCATTGCTTTTTGAAGTGTGCGCAGAGTCGCGTCTTCGTGCAGGGGGTATAGAAAAAGTGTTTGAAAAATGCATAAAAAATGTTTATTATTAAGCGTATCCTAAAAATAAATTTTCTTTCAATAGAAGACGCACACGCATAGGAACATTTTCATGGGATTGATTTTTTTTAGAATATGGGGTCTTCAACTATTCAAAACAATTACCTTCCCGAGCCACATACGGATTTTCATGAGCCCACTGATGCTCATTGTGCTGATTAAACATTCCCTTCCGTACGTATGTTGATTCGTTAGTCCAGAGAATTCGATCCATAAAGCCTGGATCAGCATCTATTTCATTCAGCAAGAATTGACAGAACGCAATACGGTTCTGGGCATCTCTTTCATCTGTTTTGAGAATGTATAAGTAATATTCAAAATAACCATCGTGTATAATTATCTATGTTACATAGAAAAATTGAGAGATTCTATGAATGCGAATTAACAAAATTTCTTGATTAGAATTTTACATAAGAGTTTAGCTTGAAAGCTAAAAAATGTGAATTTTTAAAGTAAAGTAGCCGAGGTATTTTATTTGAATATACGTCTTTTGATACCCCAAATTTCTAAAAACATTCATAAACTTCTAATACATGGATCATTTTGAAGAAAGAAAAATCAAGTAGGCAATCCAAGTTTAACAAACAGATTCCTATGTGACGGTGTAGGCCCGTCATGGCCTGCACCGTTCGCTTATCTCCCTCTCCTTCCTAGGCAAGGGCGCACGGCCGGCATCAAGCGCACGTTGTTATCACGTGCCTGATGCCTGCCCTTTATTTTTCAGCTACGCACGAGAGCGGTGGAAGGAGAAGCCGTGGACGCGACGACGCGTTCGAGTATTGAGAGTGCGAGAGAGAGAGAGAGAAAGCAATAGTTTGAGTATTGGGCTTGGCGCGCGGCACTTGTCGCGACGGGCATTGCCGCGTGCCGCCGATTAGGCGAGTGGTGGGAGAAAGCGTGAGAAGCCGGCTCTCACGCACTCGCGACAGAGAGTGACGCGACGCGCGCGACAGCAATCAGTCGAGAGTTAGCTGGTGACCATCGCTGCCTGCCCTTTGTCCGGAAGAAGTCAGCATTCCTCAGCAGATCGGCCGGACGAGACTTCCTCTGCCAGCGACGCAGCAGCTGCCCTGTAAGAAGCCGTCACCGAGGCAGAACCCGACAGCCTTTTCTGCCAGGTCGCCGGCCACGCAGCAGCGAGGAGTTTTCCAGACTAGCCGCCGGTGGGACACCTTCAAGGCTGCCAGCAACAGCGACGTCCACCAATTTGGTCAGGTCACCGATTCCTCTCTCTCTATATCTCTGTCTTTCCTAAGCGATTCTCACGGTTCGCGTTGCTACGCCAGGCTTTTCCGAGCCGGCGTAGTTTTCGGCAGTGTGTAAATTTAAGTAATTGTTTGAGCCGGTTAACGAGGTGGCATGGCGCTAACGTGCCGGTCATCTCGTTTAGAATAAGTGCGCGTGTTGTTAATAGTAATAAGTGTTTGTATTCTCGTCGGCACTCGGGTAGTGCATTTGTAATAAACGTGTGTTAAGGAATTGTGTGTGTGAAATTCTTTTGCCTGTATCTCTCTTCCCTGCTTTGCTTGGAGCGACATACCGCCTCCCTAGCCTTCCCCCTTTACAAATAATTGGTGATAGTGATGAATTAATCGGCATTGCAGGCCGACACTATTACATGGCATCCCTTGTGGGGATGGGCAAAGCAGAGGTGAGAGCAGTGCTCGTATGTGTGTGCGCGAGTAGCTAAAAAGTAGCATTAGTAATTACATTTTCCTTTTTTTTACGGTTAATTCGGTAGTATGGTTTGTGAGAGTGATTTTGTCGCGTTTTGTTAGCAAGGGCAAAGCGTGTTAAAACAACGCGCCTTTGTTTGAGAGAAACGTAGAAATTTGAAACATTAGTGTATCAGGTCGCGGCGCGCAAAGGTCGCTCGCGCCAACACGTGTTCGCTTCCGAGAATTCGAGCGTCCGAGTGTGTTTACGTTCGAACGCTGCATTCCTTTGTGGTTCTAGGCAAGGCGATAACTTGCCGGCCTGGTACGCTGAAGGAGCTTAGTTTTTTTTATTATCCTATTCATTTATTATTTTCTTTGGTTGGTTACATATAGTATAGTTTTCGTTCATAATTTTCTTTTAGCTGTCTGTTGGCAACTCGCGCGCGTCGTTGAATTTGAAAATAGTTTTTTTTTAAGTATTTTTTTTTCATTTGAATTTTTTTTTTTAAGTTAACGATTCGATCGCACCATGCCGCTTGCATATAAGGATCGCGTAACCATGCATAGAATTCTCCGCGATGCCCGCGTCAAGGAAGTCAAGCGCCGTATCGACTCGACGGAGCCGGTTGCCCTACTTGAGTTAATGCGTTACCGTGGTTTAGCGTTGCACGGCGACATGGACGAACTTAGGGAAAGGTACTTGCGCTTCACGATCGCGTCGGAGATGCCAGAGCTTGGGTCGCCTTTACAGCCGGGCGATTTTGCGTCGGGTCGCGTGCCTGATGTAACGCGCGACGAGTCAATGCATAGGGTAATTAATAGCGACGAGATCGAGAATAGGACGGTCGAATCGGCTAAGGTTGCGCCGCCAAAGGCGGCAGAATGGCGATCACCAGGACAGGCGTCGCGATCACCCGACCGCGTTGCCGTTCTGCCTGAGCCAATTCGGCCGCCGGGCGAAAGGGTTATCACTCCCATCCCAGAGGAGGAAATTTTACCCGCCACCGCTACCGCTAGTGCGATGACACCAGAGGTAGTCGTACGCGCTGCGACCACGCCCGAGTTAGAAAGACGCAGCAACGGTACTTTTAGTCAGGTTTGGGACGCGATAACAGCAGTCCCACGATGGATTTATCGGCGGGAGGTGCAGCAAGGTATCACTGACGGTACTAAGGCATTATATAGGGTAGAGAGAGAAGCTGTGCAAGGAGGAGTGGATCAGGCCTTGCAACAGGCTCAACGGCCGTTGCAGGCCGATCCGTCGGCCGGCCGCGCGGCGCTGAACGTGCCAGCGGCCGCCGGCCCCGTCTATCAGATTCACCCAGGCGTTCCTCCGCGTGGAGAAAGGCCGATGAATCAGATATTATTCCCAAACAGCTCTCTCGAAACTATCTATAAATCGCCCCCGCAACCTGACACAGAGACCTGGGTTCGTGAATGGGAAAGGGCTGTACGCGCACCCTGTAGCGAATACACGCGCGCATCAGGTTTAGACAAAGTAGGCTCGGGCTCGGAGTCTAGAGCTTCCACGAGAGTGTCAAAGAGCAGGCCGGTCAAGGCGAAAACAAAAATTGTGCCGGACCATGGCAGCACGGTTGACCTCTCGAGCTCCTCCGAGTGAGAGATCGGGGACCGCAAGGAAAGCGTATCGCAGCATAGCGACAGGCCGATTAAAACTAAAATTGGAGAAAAAAGCCCGAAACGCGTTAAGTATATAAATGGCGTGCCGGCCGATGGCGTTAGTGCGTTGACAGCATGGTCGCTTCGTTTCTCGGGCGATGATGACATGAACGCGATGAGTTATTTATCAGGGTTAGAAGACTGCCAGCGTTATTACGGTATTTCGGACGAAGAAATGCTAAATGCTATTGGCACTAC